CTCTATGATCCCCTGCAGAACTGGGGATAGAGAAACACCTGAGTGAGATGCTGAGGGGCTGCATAGCATTGGGAAGAACCAAGGATTTAGAAGCAGGAGGCTTGGGTCCCAGTCCCTCTCTGCCTCCATCCGTGTAATTGGGCAAGACCGTGGGCTGTTCCCTCCTTTCTAGGATGGGTTGGCAGCCCCTGCTCTACCTCTCGTTAGGACAGGAAGGATGAGTATGTCAGTGAGATGCAAAGAATGTGACGGTCATGATCCCAAGGGGTCAGTATCTCAGAAGATCAGGACAGTGTCCAGCACAGTCCAGTAGACAAAGGACTCCCTGGAGGAGCTGGAGAAGACAGGGCCAGTTCTGCCTCCACGTCTTCCCTTTGCCGCCTCCCAAGCCCACTCCTTCCCCTCCTGCCTACCTCAGGGCGCCTGCCTCCGGATGAGGTGGGTTGACCACAGCTGCTGGAATTTTTCATACTGGGCTTGGGGCCAGCCCTCGATCTGCAATGGCAGATGTGTGACCATGAATTCTGGAGGTGAGGCACAGCTGGGGATGAACGGTGGGAAGGTCTCAGGGAGGGAGCACGATGAAGAACTTGATCCTTCTGGGGAGAAGTTCCTTTAGTGTTTAGACTCCACACTGAGGTGTGGAGATGGGTGAGGGAAAGACCCTGGAGGATATGTTGGGGCAGGGGGAGACAAGAGGCTGATTGTTCCTTCTGGTTCCACCTTTGCAGGAGGCCGCTGGAGTCTAGCCAGATGCCACCGGTGCCTCCCCTTCGTCTGTTCCTACTGAGCTGGCTCCAGACTTCAGACCCACCACCTCCTGGGCAGCGGCCTCCCTTCCCCTGCCTGCTGCCCCTCCCTCCACCTCCCTGAAATAAAGTTCCTTAACTAAAATGGGTTTCTTTCTTCTCTGATCACGGATCCATTCTGTTTAGCTGCACCCTTGAACTTTCTGCTTTATCATCCCTCCCCAGGCCACACCTCTCAGAGAAAGAGTCAGGAGTTACCAATCCTTGAGGAGGATGGAGGGTGGGGTGGGGTCTCCAGAGCCTTTTGGAGACAGAGGAATGGGCTCAGGTCGCTCTCCTCATAGAGCACCATTTCTGGGCACCTGTGTAGCAGGTATTGCCAGCACCCCATCCATATCTTTCAGACCCTTCCAGGTTTTAGGTAGATTCCAGAGAGCCTATGTTTGCATCTCTGTGCCCAAGGGCCCTTTTTCTCTTTCCCTGACCCCAGAACTGAGGTTGATTTGACATGTAAGGAAATTTACAGGTCCCTGGAAAAAGACCACAACTCTTAGGAGTGAGTGTAGAAGTACCTCAGTTCCTTGCCCCTCAAGAGAAATGAATGTGACAGGTACTGGGCACCATTTCCCAGGGTTTCCTGATGGGGTTAAGCTCTAGTGACTTGCTGGGGTAGCCGGCATTACAGCACACATTTTACTGGCTGCCTTCCCTTCCCTGTATGAATTCTCAGCTCCCTCCTGGTATCTGTGCAGCTCCCAAATGAACTACATGCACTCAAATTCTTGTCTCAGGGTCTGCTCCTGGGGAAACCCCATATAGGGCAACTTGCCACGCCTCTACACGAAGCCAGGGAAATATGACAAGACACAGCACCCTGGCCTTTGGGAACATATAGTTGTTTGTAACAACATCAATGAATGTTACTACTTTCAGGGCACCTGCACTACTTTCAAAGCACCCTGCGGTGGCAGGCACCTTACACAGATGGCATCTTGTGATCGATAATTATTATCCACATTGTTCAGAGACTTGGTGAACATCTCAGTATGACCAGTGCTGGGATGTGACTCTATCTGCTTCAAAGCATGTTCCCTTCATGCTTATGCCTCCAGGGTTGAAAATCTTTGGTTTACTGTTTGCATTTATGTTCACAACAGTTTCAAACTCTGTGTCTTCTCTCAAGATTCATTCCAGCCTCATGTTATGCAGAGGGTGGGCTTTGGAATCTTGACAGGCAGTGTAGTGTGATGTACAATGAAATCACAGGCATCCGGGTCAGTCCCTCTGTGTCTCAGTCTTTCCATGTGCAAACTAAGGACAATGACAGCACTTAATGAGATCAGCTTGAGTAAAGGTCTCAGCAGTGCCTGGCATAAAGGCCACCCTCAGCCATGTTGGCATCAGTGGCTAGATTGTCTGGGTAACACATCTGAGCGTATCAAACACAGCAAGGACTTGGGAGTCAGACAGATCACTTCCAAAGCACCACTTGTTACTAGTTGTATAAACTTGGGCCTTGTTTAACCACCTAGTGCTTTTACAGTACGTATGTAGATAAGAGATGACAGCAATACCAAATTTGTAGAATGACTTTTGAGGATTAAGTGAGATAATGACTACAAAAAACCTTAATGAAGCATTATGTCTGGTCCATGGTGAACCTTCAAAAGTCTTATCTATGTTTTTAAACCAGACAGAAATCGTTGTGGTCATTGGCATGGTCATGGAAGTCATTGGAATGTCCTTGCCCAGGGTTTGTGTGCAAGGAAACAGGGTCAACTAAGAGAGGGAATGGTCCATTAGGGAGGGAGGTCAGTGAGAGGACTCTGGGGAAGGGCGTTGCTGGTGGTGGTGGCTCACAGGAGGAGCCAGCCCTCTTGATCAATCCAACTGCCAAGTGAAATAGTGCTCTGGCTGGGCCCCTGGATGAGGGCAACTGACTCTCCCCCATCTTGCACTAGGGAGTTTTCAATACTTGAAATCTGGAAACCAGGGTTTTGGGCCTGGGAATTGGCTAATCCTCCCACAGTCAGGTAGATAAATGATCTGGTCCGTTGGACCTGGGAGATAAGCGGTCAAGGCCGTTACTCTGCAATCGGGCCCAGAAGTGACCTGTCACTTACTTCCGCATTTGTGGGTCCCTTAGGAGAGCAGAGGAGGAGCAGGGGTCCAGCCTTCCTACCCTAGGGCTACTTTTCCCTTCTGCCCTGTGTGCTGGAGGGGCTGGGCTGGACTAAGTGGTCTAGTACACTCTGCCTATGAGGATGTCTCTGAGTTGACTCAATTCAAGGATCATCCCTTGCTGGGCCTCTCGTTAAACTACAGTAAATTTGGCTAGAGCTATTCTGGCTAAAATTCTGATATTTTGTTCATCATGGATGTTTTGTGTTAGTTTCGATTATTAACGAGGTTTACAGTAACATGTATTTATCTTAAATAGTGAATTTCTTAGTACCCCCTTAGATTTTGCCACTGGGCTGAATTTTGCCTACTAGTCCTGACACAGGGACCTGGGAGGTGAGTGGAATGAGGAAGGTGATCTACAAAGTTTCTGAGACACTGCAGGAAGCTTCTCATTACAGCTGCTGTCCCTTTGCCAGCCCTGAAGATATGCCTTGAGGTTGGACAAGGTGGCATATTCCAGACCAGTGACCCTCAGCCTGGGCCATTTTGCTTCCCAGAGGACATTCAGAAATGTGTGGAGACCCTTTTGATTGTCCCAACGGGGGAAGGTGCTATGATGTTTAGAGCAGGGTTCTCAACCTTCCTAATGCCGTGGTCCTTTAATACAGTTCCTGTGGGTTGCGACCCACAGGTTGAGAACGGCTGCTCTAGAGGGCAGAGATGGGGGCGTTGTTAAACCCTCTTCCTCACCCTGGATGGCCCTCCCCCACGCAGCAAAGAATTATTTGACTCCAAGTATTAATAGTACAAAGGTTGAGAAACCTTGATCTAGATCCACAGCACAAAAGGAAGAGCATGGGATTTTCACACACTAAAGATGAGAGAGGGAGAGAGAAGGAAGGGTTGGGGGAGAGAGAGAGACAGAAACTGAGACCCAGCCAAAAAGACTTAGAAATTCCAGTTCCTTCAGTTCCTGAGTAACCTTGGCAAGTGGCTTTCTCCTTTTGAATCTCCTCTCTGGGGTCTGTGAATTGGGAATAATGTAATCCTGGGGGTGATGAGGTGAAGATGAAGGTCAGGGACACAGGGCACACAAAGCACCCGGGGTAGATAAGTGCTCAGGAGGGCTGAGCTTCCCCTTTGCCTCAGGTAGGGTGGGCCACACTAAAGCTGGTAATCCACCAGTGAAGGTGAAGGGCTGGTGGCCTCTCCAGGCTTCGAGAAAGTGCTTCCTCTCACCTCCTCCTGGCCTTGAGGATTTCTGCTTCACTTCCTGGGATATTGACTAGTCAGTGGCTGCTTCTGAGGTTAAGGTGCATTGTTCAGACTTGGGCACTAATAAAAATCATCAATAATAACTTTCTCAAGCAAACCAGGATGTGTGTTGGGTGTTGCCTGTGGCTCAGTGGGTAGGGCGCTGTCCCCAAATACTGATGGTGGCAGGTTCAAACCCGGCCCTGGCCAAACTGCAACCAAAAATAGCTGGGCGTTGTGGTGGGTGCCTGTAGTACCAGCTACTCTGGAGACTGAAGTAAGAGAATCGCCTATTCCTGGGATTTGGAGGTTGCTGTGAGCTGTGATGCCATAGCACTCTACTGAGGGCAATAAAGTGAGACTCTGTCTCTAAAACAAAAACAAAAAATATAAAAAAAGCAGGGTGTGTAGACACCTCAGAAGGCAGAAGGCCCCCAGGAGGTGGGTCCCTGAAGTTCCAGTAGAGAGCGGGGCTCAGGGTGAGAAGACTGAGCAAACTTCCTTATCATCTTCACTGGCCCTCACCCTGGCCTGGGGCAATCATCCCACTTCCCCTAAGTCCCAATAAAAGGGCTGCTTTCTGGGGTCCAGGAGCCAGAGACACTGAGAGTGGAGGCCTCAGATTCTTGACAGGTGAGTCTCTCCTTGCTGTCCAGGGAGAAAGGGTTTATTAGGGTCTGGGAGGAAGCAGCACCCTGTACGGCAGACAGCTAGGAGGCCAGTCTTTAGGGCCATGCTAACTACTGTCCTTCCCCTTCCTCCTTCCCTAGGCTGAGTGAAGTCAGCTCTGACCCTGGGCAGACCTGTTCCTTCAAGGGCAGGGGTCTGAGCTGAATGTGGTCTGGGAGTGGTGATGGAGATCTGCGGACAAAGGGACTTTTGCACCCAAGTTGCCCCTCCCCTATTCTTTTTCCAGATCCTCCAGCTTAGGATCTGTTCACTGGAGGAGGAAAAAACAATCTCGTTTGCACTTTAATCAACCAATTAAACACTGTATCTATACTCTATGCCAGGGCTGTGCCAGACACACAAGGACAGCCTGGAGAAGGAAGGTGGAGCTGTGTCCTCACGACAAGACTGAGTAAATATGAAACAGGCCCTGCTCCTGCCCTTTATCCTGCTGGGGACAGTTTTAGCTCTTCATCTGGGTAAGTCCTGTCCTTCCTCTCCCATCCTCTCTCCTACACGCTTTTCTTTTTCCTTTCATGGTGCCAAGGCCACAGCCTCCCCTCTTCAGTTGTCCCAGTTCCCAGTTCATCTCTGGTAAGATTTCTCCTGGCCTCAGAACTGCAACTTGAACTTGCTCTTAGAAAGTTCCCACCACCCATCTATTAAAGTGAAGTGCTGGTGAACCTTCCAACTTCTCACAAGTGCTTCCTTTCCCCAAAAATACATACCTGTAGTGGCAGCCAGAAGTGAGATTCTTGTCCATTTGTAGATGTGATCCAAGAGATCCAAGAGATCCAAGAGATCCCTCCTTGTAGATGTGATCCAAGAGATCCAAGAGACCCAAGAGATCCAAGAGATCCCTCCTCATCTCTCCTCTGGATTCTCCAGTCCTGGATCCAGATGGCATCCCAGGAAGTCTTAGTGAGGTTTTGGAGCTGTCCGTGGTCCTGGAGGAAGGGAGCCACCCTGATGGCAGGTTACCTCTTTTTCCCAGAAAATGATATCCCCCACCTGGAGATCCTAGAGACAGAGGTAGACCTGGGCCAGGATCTGGATGGTTCTGGGGACCAGGATGGAGAGTTGGCTTTTACTGATAAGCTGATTAAGTCAGAGCAAGAAGAGGTCGAGGCTTCTGGCTATCAAGATGCCTTCAAGGATGAGGTGGCCATCGAGTCGTACTCAGCTGCCTTAAGAAAGGACTTGCAGTGCCCCAGAGAAGAGGACACAGTTCAATTACAAGGAAGTCCTTGGTGCAAGGACTGCCACTACCGGTTGGTGAAGACCCTCAAGACATTTAAAGAAGCCGAGGTAAGTAGCAGGGAGGCTATCCTACAGGGAGAAGAGAGTGGATTTGACCTGCTGCTCCCTACTCATTTAGACTAGTGGGTCTCAGAGACCAGCACACCCCTGAATGATCTGGAAGTCTTGTTGTTAAAACACAGATTTCTGGGCCCCATCCCACGATTTCTGATCAGCGGGTGCTGATGAATGTGCATTTATAACAAACTCTCAGGTGATGATGATTTGTCAGTCTGGGGATAGCACTTTGAGAATCACGGATTTAGCCCAAGAGCTTTGGCATTGGATATACCCATGTTAAATTCTGGCTCTGCCTTTAATTGGTGTGTTACCTTGGCAAGTTGCTTCGCCTTTCAGAGCTTCAGTATCTTCATTTGTAGAATGAGGATATATAGCCGCAACCTCTTGGAGTTGTGGTGGGGATTAAGTATTTGGAAGAATCCGTAGATCATAATAAACTCTCAGTAAGTGATGGTTATAATTATTATTAACATTATTATGCCCTACAAGATTACCCTGATAGCTAATTAAGGAGCAAAAGAGGATTGAGGGAAACAAGTAGGTCTCTTATTTTTAACCTTAAAAGGGGCATGGGGGTCTTGTACAGAGACTCAGAAACTTGAGATAAATGAGAAGGAATTTTCTATTTCACTTCTCTCTGCAGAATATTTGCTATCACTGTTACAAAGGCCACCTCGTCTCCATCCACAAATACCCTGAAAACCTTGAAATTCAGCGTTTCGCTAGAAACCTCGATCAGCCCCACATCTGGATCGGAGGCACGATCAGGGGCTGGGTAAGTTGAGGATCAATTCCCAAGCATAGGAATTTCTTTCTGATTGTTTTAAGGGAGGCCCTGCTGGTGCCTAGCCTTAGCCCAGCAGCTACGGTGTCCTTAGTAGTAGTAAACAATGACATGCTGGAGCTGGCTTGTACTGTTTTGGGAGAACTGATGGTGCATATCTCTTCCAACCCCTCCATTCTGTGATTATCTGCACGTAACTTGGAGTCAGTCATGGTGGGAGTATTTACACCAAGGAAATTGGCAATTGCTATAAATCAGGGATCCTTCCTATTCCCCGTCTTCTCACTTCCTTCCCGAGAGCCAGTTTTAAACATTTGCCAGCACACCACTGGAGTCAGGAGACAAACTTCAGGCCCAGGTCAGTCACTAACTGGCTGTATAGCTTTCTCAGAATCTGAGTTTCTTCATGTCTGAGCTGGGAACCTTTTTCCCTCACCTTGGCTCTGAAACTGTGGATGAGTAAGTGCTATTGTATTGGGAACTTGAAGTGTGGCCCATGGCCAGCAGTATCAACATTCCCTAGTAGCTTGTTAGAAATGCAGAATCTGGCTCAGTGCCTGTGGCTCAACTAGCTAAGGAGCCAGCCACATACACCTAAGTTGGCGGGTTCAAATCCAGCCTGGGCTAGCCAAACAACAATGATGGCTGCAACCAAAAAATGGCCAGGCGTTGTGGTGGGTGCCTATGGTCCCAGCTACTTGGGAGGCAGAGGCAGGAGACTCACTTGAGCACAGGAGTTTGAGGTTGCTGTGAGCTATGCCACGGCACTCTAACGGTGGCTCTAACGGTGGTGACAAAGTAAGACTCTGTCTCAAAAAAAAAAAAGAAAGAAAGAAAGAAAGAAAGATCAGTGTACTAACCAGTAATATACCTAGTATGATACCTCTGAAGCAATAGTGTCAGGTAGAACAGTGGTGGACCTATTCTATATCTGCATTGCCCCATGTGTGGCTAGGAACCGCTGGAAGTGTAGCTAGTGTGACTGAGAACCTGAATATTTACTTTAATTCATTTAAATTAACTTATATTTAGATCTAAGCAACACACGTGGTGGCTGGGGGCTGCCACATTGGACAGAGCAGCTCTGAAGAATACAGACATAGCAGATGTTAGGTGTAGCTGCTGCCTCTAAGGCTGAGTGGACCCAAGGAAGGAACACACTTAGAAGTGTTCCTCTCCCATGCCCCCCAGATGGGATTCAGACCTTACTGGAGAGTGTGGATGCTAGAATCATGTATAACATTGGCTTTCTTGTACACCTTGGACAGAGAAGCCATCCACTGGCAGCCACACATAGAGGCCTGAAGCCTGAAGAAAAGCAGAACAGCGGCTCGGCGCCTGTGGCTCAAGTGGCTAAGGCGCCAGCCACATACACCTAAGGTGGCGGGTTCGAATCCCCAACCCGGGCCCACCAAACAACAATGACGGCTGCAACCAAAAAATAGCCAGGCGTTGTGGCGGGTGCCTGTGGTCCCAGCTACTTGGGAAGCAGAGGCAGGAGACTCGCTTGAGCCCAGGAGTTGGAGGTTGCTGTGAGCTGTAATGCCACAGCACTCTACCCAGGGGGACAGCTTGAGGCTCTGTCTCAAAAAAAAGAATGAAAGAAAGAAAGAAAGAAAGAAAGTAATGCAGAATCTGGCTGGGTGCAGTGGCTCAGGCCTATGATCCTAGAACTTTGGGAGGCCAAGGCAAGAGGTTGGCTTGAGCCCAGAAGTTTGAGACCAGCCTGGGCAACACAGTGAGACCCTATCTCTACAGAAAACCCCCCAACTATGTGGGTGTGGTGCTGCATGTTTGTAGCCCTAAGTACTTGGGAGGCTCAGCCAGGAGAATGGCTTGAGCCCAAGAGTTCAAGACAGCAATGAGCTGCTGAGTGGCTGTGTCATTCAACTCCAGCCTGTGTGACAGAGGGAGATCCCATCTCAAAAAAAAAAAAAAAGATTATATATTTATTATTTATTTATTTATTTGAGATAGAGTCTCATTATGTCTCCCTCGGTAGAGTGCTGTGACATCACAGCTCATAGCAACCTCAAATCTTGGGCTTAAGTGATTCTCTTGCCTCAGTCTCCCAAGTAGCTGGGACTACAGGTGCCCACCACAATGCCCAGCTATTTTTGTTGTTGTTGTAGTTGTCATTGTTGTTTAGCAGGCCTGGGCCAGGTTCGAACCCACCAACCCTGATGTCTGTGGCTGGCACCCTAACTACTAAACTACGGGCGCTGAGCCTCAAAAAAAATTTAAAATCTTAATCTTGAGCGTCACCCCAAACCTCCTGAATCAATCTTTATTTTAACAAGATCCCCAGGAGATGTGTATGAACAGTGAAGTTTGAGAAGCCTACCCTGTGTGATGGCTGGGAGAGATGGGTTGCTCTTTCCTTGTCATTGCCTGTAAACCCTCAGGGATGGGTCTTGAGGGTATCAGGCTCCTGGCCAGGTGGGCAGGGAGAGGAGTCAGCAGTGGGTGTTCTCTGGAGGTCCTGGGGCTGCCTGTCTTCCTGTACCTCTGACTTAGCCTATCATTTCTCCAGTGGCTGTGGAAGGGGTATTGCTGGACTGATGAGAGCCCCTGGAATTTTGAATACTGGGCTTCAGGGCAGCCTGAGAATGGGAATGGCCACTGTGTGACCCTATGTACCAAAGGTAAGGGGGAGGCACCAGGGCGAGAGTGGGTAGTGGGCTCGGTATTGTCCCTTTGAGCTGCCTGAACACACATCCCCAAACTCACACCCTTCCCCCCCTGGGAGAACCAAAGCTCTGTCTGTGAGGAGGGCTGAGATACAGAAATTCCTCAAGCAAAACCAGGTGATGGAGGTGCCTTGGTGGGGGCTGAACGGGGGAGTCCTTCACCTCCTCTGACATGAGGGCAACACCTTTGAGCCACAGAAGTGACAAATGAGAGCAGCAGATGTGAATATAAGGTGTGGATGAGGCAGAAGAAAGGATGTGGGAATTAGGAATGGCTGAGACCCAAGATGCCAGCTTCGAACGGCAGATGTGGGCAACAGCACGGATGGCAGATGTGAGAGAGTTTAGCACAATAGCTAAGACCATATGTGCTGAAGCAAGACCGCTGCGATTCACACGTCAGCGCGGCCACTTGCCAGTTCAGATGCGGAGATACAGGCAACTTATTTATCTCCACGAGGCCTCAGTTTCCTCCTTTGTGAAATGGAGATGGTGAGAGCGTGTACCCCTTGGCGTCATAGTTAGGATTAAATGCCATAGTCCATCTGAAGCACTTAGCACACCGCCTGGCTTGCACCGAGAGCTCGGTAAATGTTAGCGGGGATGTGCGAGAAGTGTACGGCTAGCAGATAATGACAATGGACGTGGAATGGGGCATAACAGGTGCCTGCGGAGGGAGGGAGGTGGGGCACACGCCAACCGAGCCCCAAAGCTGACATCACTGTGTTCTCTGGTGCTAGACGGTCATTGGGAACGAATTTCATGCGAGAGGACCCTGCCTTTCGTCTGCTCCGCCTAAGCCAGCGCAGGGAGCCGGCCTCCAGACACCTGCACTTCACTCCTGTCCCCCCAGCCTTTCCTCGTCATGAATTCAGACTTTCCACAGCATTTCCTGGCTCTCGTTTCTTCATTGCTCGATTTGGGGAACTCCCTTAAGTTGGGAAAAATCCCACGTTCAAGCCTGCGGGAAAGCAAACCCTGGCCACGTGGGGTTCGGCGGCGGTGCGGGAGGCCTGGCTGCAGCGCCCTCTGCAGGCGGAGCGCGCACTCGGCCT